GCAGAACTTACCAGAGTTTTGAGGAAGCTCATGACTGAGCCCTGTCCTGCAGCTGCCTGGGGACTGTCCTGCTCTACCTGTGCCCCGCCAGGTGCTGCAGCAGCCGGGCCCTCCTCACCTGCAGAGTCCTGCCCGAGCTCCTTTCGGGTGCACTCATCGATCTCCTAAAAAAGAAAGGGGGGACAGAGGTTGCTCGGTGCCAGCTTGCCCGATTGCCCGTGGAATGCAGAAGTGACTTTTGTGACTTGCTGGGAGTCACAACAGCAATTCCAACCATTCCTGGCCAGCCCACGGGCTCAGAACAATCCAGCATTTATCCCTCTCCATCCCCTCGTTCCTCAGGCATTCAGCACTTGCTGCTGCTCGGGGGAATGTTGTTCTCAGCCACAACAAGCACAAGGGCGAGCCCCAAACTCCACTTTTCTCTTTTCAAGGCTGAACTTGTGAAAAATGGGAATAAATGCCGAGATTTTGGGCTCTGCCAGCTCCGTGGCCGAGTGCACCACACAAAGATGCCTTCTGATTCTCTAGTTTGCCACGCCAGGAAACATTTTTATTTATCAAACACAAACATGACACACATTAAAAGGAGGAAAAAGGCAATAAATCCAAGTAATTCTCCTGAACCAGATGGAGCTGCCTCTTCTCTTCATGGAATTACAGTTCCCAGAGCCCCAGAAAGTTTTCCAGTGCTCACAAGTAGGTAATACTAAGAGACTTAATTATTATAAGGTTTTCTGTTTAGATACCCGGACAAGGGTCTGTTTTTTTAAAAAAACAGCTCTTGAACCAGTTTTGGAGAGTTTGGCACCCCTCACGTTGAATTTACCTTCCATTTTGGCCACTTTTGCCTTGTGCAGGAGAGAATGACATCAAAGAGTGTCTAAGGTACATCAGGAGTTTTTTCCCTAACCAGCCCATTATAGCTCAGTGCTTTTTTTAGTGGGAAATACTCGAATAAAAGCTTTCTAAAGAACCTTTCCCTGTGCTGGGTGATTAAAACAGCACCATAATTGTATATAATATGGATTTTTTTAATGTCAAGAGTGGAAGGAATAGACTTTAAATGCTTTAAAACTTCAGAGGGGTCAGGAGAGCTGGGCATGGGAGCACAGGGAGTTAAAGTGTACATTGGAATGCCAGCAGGGACTTTGTGCAATTCCCCACCCACCAAGTGGTCCAAGCTGGCCCAGGAAGCAGCAGAGCAGTGCTGGCATGGCCAGCAGGCTGCTCCAGGGTCTCACACTGCACTGTGTGCAGCTGCCAGCCCCAGGGTGGCCCCAGGAACAATCTGTCCCATGCAGGACACACGTGGCCATGGCATCCCCAGAGCTCTGGTGCCATGGAAAATGCTGGCTCTGCTCCACGTGCTCCAGGGACAAGGGAGGCAGGGCAAGGAGGAGGCTGGTGTGGGGCTAAACAACATCAGATTTACAGCCCAAGTGCTTGGTGCCAACAAACTCCTTAGTGCTGGGTGCTATCCAGAGAAATAAATAGATTTAATAACTTTTTTTTTTTTTTAATTCTAGACAAGCCCAAGCCCTGGCTTTGGGATGCATTTCAGGAGAGAGCTGCACTCAGCTGTTTGCAGCACCTCTGGCTGATCCAGGACATCTCCCTCACAAAGGCACGCTGAAGAGAAAGGCACTGCAGATCCTGAGAATTGGGGCCATCCCAAAATCCCTGAGCTCCAGCCTCCCAGTGAGATGGGCCCCATTTGGTGTGCCCATTTCAGGGTACACTTTAACTCCCTGTGTTCCCAGTGCTGGCACTGCCCACCCCATGCCCAGCTCTCCTGACCCCTCTGAAGTTTTAAAGCATTTAAAGCCTATTCCTTCCACTGGTAACAGAAATAAATCCATATTATATACAATTATGGTGCTGTTTTAATCACCCAGAACAGGGAAAGGTTCTTTAGAACATTTTTATTCTCTTTTTTTCCCACTAAAAATGACCCTGCCCTGCTCCAGGATCCCTCTCTGTGATTCCCAAGCCAAGGCTCCCCTTGGCTACAGAGAATCACTCAAATCTGGCCCTGGAGAGGGGCTGGGATCCATCCTGTGCTCCCATGGGAATATTCCTGCAGGAAGAGCACAGGCTGGGACCAGCAGCACAGAAATCAGGCACACGGAATGCACAGCCCCACAGAATCACGTTTGCAGAGCCACAAAAATCACAAAAGCCTCTGTGGCAGCTCCCTGCTCAAAGCCCTGGGGGTAAATAATGAAAGAAACCCCAGGAATAACAGAAGATCAGTATTAGGAGTTAATAGATGCTATGTAAATGTTCAATTCATGTCTTTGAAAAGCTAAATTTGGGGGTAATAAACACCTTAAATATACTGTAGTTTCAGTTCAGTCATCAGGAAAAAAAAAAAACAACCCCAAACATATCAAAAGAATGTATTCCTGCCAGCACTTTTGTTTGCATGAATCACGGCTCAGTGAAACATTTCAGGCATATAATTTATCTTTTCTTTGGCTTACATAGTAAATGCTTCATGAATTCATGAATTCTGCCCTTGTTTTAATTATGCTGCTCTCTGAATGTAGTTTTGTAGACCACAAAAATAAAGAGTGGCTCAGCAAACACAGAATGTTTGTGCAGCTCTTAAGCTACAACTGTGGAGCCTCTCTCTTACTCACCAGCAACGCTGTTTGTTTTGTCTTGGCACTCAGTGCAGGGAAACTTTGCTTTTAGCATTTACAGATACTACAAGTCATAATCCACAAAGGGAAAAAAAAAAAAAAGAGAGAGAGAGAAAAAAAAAAAAAAAAAAAGGAGCTGTTGGCAGCGATATCTTGATTTTTAGTATGATTATTTGGTAACAGTTTGTAGTTACTACAGTAACAGTAATTAAATTAGGCTTGGTCATTCTCCCATCCAGCAGGAGAATTGGAACTTCAGAGGGAACAGAAGGCAACTGTGCTGCAAGGCAGAGCCCCAGCCTTTGTTTTAGGGATTGAGTTAAATTTGGCACCACATTGCAGTGTTTAGCTGATGTATTTTCCCCAGAAAAGGTGCTTAACTCTTCTCTGCCCTCACCATATATTCCTTTTCATATCTGAAGAACCAAAGACAAAATTATAGCCCAACAATTCAAGCAGAAGGTTAAAATTCCTCTCCCTGTGATGCAGATCTGTCACTTATTTACACAGTGGTCCCTGATTTTGTGAGTCCTCAAAGATTTCCATGGTGCAGCTTTAAGAACACCCCTAAGAGATGTGGAGGCATTTCTGATAACCAGACCTGTCCTCAGGAATGTTCCTGGATTCCCAAAATCTGCTGGGATCCTGCAGACACCCCCAGACAGACCCAACCCCACCCATGGCTCAGCAGTGCCTGGGATTTCCAGTCATTCCATCAGGGATCTCCAGGATGTCCATGGGTACAAGGGGGGACTGGGGCAGAACTGCAAATCAGCAGGAATTAATAAGAAATGCAGTTATTGATGGAATAAATCTTGATCTGGATGAGCAGTGCTGCCCTGTTTGAACTGGGACAATGATTTGGGTTCTGCTCTGTGCCTGATCTTGTTCATACAGCTCTGCCTCACCTGAGCTTCCAACAGCACTGCCTGTCCCAGCAATGTCTTACTCTGAATTTTAGTTAAAACTGCTCCAAACTGTTCTTTCCTTAGACTTTCACCCCATTCCCTCAGCTGTGACCTTCCCCACTCTGTCAATGAAAGCAGTGTCACTGCAGTGACAGTGAAATAAAAAAAAAAAAAAAAACGAGAATTTGGCATTTAGTGGGAAAAGAGACAATTCCTGCAAGCCACGGGGAAGGCTTGTGGTGTGTGATTGTCAAAAATATCTGCAGGAATCGGGGGTGTTGAAAAGCTTCATTCTAAGAGGCTGAACACAGAAGTACCAGTGTGCCCTGGACAGAGCATTAATTTCTAATTATCCCCTCTGTTCTGCTTAGGTGCTGAATGCCTTTATGGATTCTTTAAATGTGCATCCTGAGCTGTGTGAAACACCAGCGATGGGAGCAGGGCAGGGTTGAAAAATGCAACTGTTTTTTCTTAAAAATGAACCCTCAGAAAAATATTACAATGTGTACATTTATACAAGGAACGTGATCTTTAAATTTGAAAAGGTCTAAGATAGAGAAGACAAAGATTAAAAATAAAAGAATTTCAGGGCAACTTGCAATGCTGGCAGTGTAAGCAGTGAGTATCTCATGAGTTAAGTACAACACTACCCAAAAGATCAATGATCACCCTCTTATTTGTAAACCTGAATTGGCCAATAAAAGCAGTTATTAAAATGCTAGTTACACATTGCTTTTTCCTTCCTGTTCCTGACATTAGACAGAGTTTCAATTTGATCACCAATTCCTGTATTCCAGCTCTCCAGCAGAACTCAGAGTTACACCATTATCCCCTTCCTTTTGCTGTAGTTAATTACCTGAAACATAATTTTATAACACCCTTACTGACATCAGACTCAGCAGGAAGCACAAAATCTAAACTCGTATTAACTTTCAGCTCCTCTGACCAGAGTGCTCATTCAGTTAAGATCCAGAATTTCTTACATCACATTCTCATCCTGTAAAATAATTTCTAATGAAATTTTCCTTGACTAGAACATCCCAATAAGCTGGAGTACAAACATTGTTGCTGCATAATATTCCTTATTTTGGTGAATGGGCTATTCAGCATCTATTGCTGGAGGAGCAGGACTATTTTAAAAACGGCACGAACACACCAAAGAACTTTTAGAGAATCACCCAGTGTCAAAGGCCAAGGTCCTAAAGCACAAAAAGCTGTTTTAATTTCAGGTATTTTTGTTTTCATTTGCAGCTGGCAGCTGTTCCTCCCGGCAGCCAGAGCTGTGTTGCCCAAACCTTTTGGGGAATTATAAATGAAATTAAAGTCGAGAGACAGAGCTTCCCTCCTCGGCCACAGGTTCATCTTCCACACCTTTGAGGTGTTACCTGTGGTCACTGCAGGGACAGCACTGATTCACTCCCCTACCCCCATGGACTTATCCCACTCCGCCAACATTCCCAAGAGTTTCCATGGGCGAAAATGAAATTAATTGGTTTTTAACGAAGCACTTGCCTTGCCCAGCAGGACCCCGTTGGGCGCTTCCAAGCCCTGCCTGCCCTCCTCGGGGTCACCTCGTGTGCCCCCCTTGCCCTTCTCCAGCCTGAAGATCCTGTCCAGGAATGTCACTGGCTTGTCCTTTGGGGTGGCCACATGGCGTCCCTGGGGTGTCCCCGTCAGCTGGGTGTCCTGCAGCGGGGATTTCTGGCCCTCCGTGCCCCCAGCCGGGGCTTGCCGCAGCCCCAGGGCACCGGGAGCGGGCACGGCAGGGGATGGAGATGCTGCTGGTCCCTCGGCTCGCCCTGGCACAGCCCCGGGCACGGCCAGCAGGGAGCGGGGGCTGGCAGCTGGCAGAGCCCTCCTGGCAGCGCTCCCGTGGCTCGGCTCCGAAGAAACGGCGGCATTATCCCGGGCAGGAGCTGCCTGGGCATCCTCTGCAACACAGGGAGACAGGAGTTATCCCCCGGGAACGGGAGACAGGAGTTATCCCCCGGGAACGGGGTACAGGAGTTATCCCCCAGAAATGGGAGACAGGAGTTATCCCCCAGAAACGGGAGACAGGAGTTATCCCCCAGAAATGGGAGACAGGAGTTATCCCCCAGAAACGGGAGACAGGAGTTATCCCTCAGAAATGGGGTGCAGGAGTTATCCCCCTGTAATGGGGTACAGGAGTTATCATCCAGCCGTGGGGACACAGGGAATGTTGCCCCAGCCGTGGGGACACAGGGAATGTTTCCCCAGCCGTGGGGACACAGGGAATGTTCCCCCAGCCATGGGGACACAGGGAATGTTCCCCCAGCCGTGGGGACACAGGGAATGTTCCCCCAGCCATAGGGACACAGGGAATGATCCCCCAGCCATGGGGACACAGGGAATGTTCCCCCAGCCATAGGGACACAGGGAATGATCCCCCAGCCATGGGGACACAGGGAATGATCCCCCAGCCATGGGGACACAGGGAATGTTCCCCCAGCCATGGGGACACAGGGAATGTTCCCCCAGCCATGGGGACACAGGGAATGTTCCCCCAGCCGTGGGGACACAGGGAATGATCCCCCAGCCGTGGGGCACCAGCAGTCACGGCTGCTCAGGCTGTGCTGAGCCACTTCTGAGATGGGGAAGAGCACACTCAGGACCCAGGTGCTGCTGCTCATCCCCCAGAGCTGATTTTTGCTCCCCTGCACCCTGAAATCGGTGCAAGTTTTCCCCTCTGCTCATCCCCCAGAGCTGATTTCACTCCCCTGCCATCCCTCACTGAAATCAGAGCAAGTTTTACCCCCTGCACAATCCCCTCTCAGTGTCAAACTCAGCTGCCAGCCCCGTTTGGCACTCCTCAACCCAGTGGACAGCAAATTAAAATTAGTGATATGCCATAAAAGCCAGCCCAGTAAAACTCGAGATGGTTATATATCAATTTATCACCCTGTCCTCTGTCAGAACTAAAGGAACAAAAAGAACAAAGAGCAGCAGGACTGATCCCATTTCCTGGCTCACCAAACTCTGTGCAGTCAGAACTGATTTCATTCATTTTTCCTCGCCTTGCTGCCTGCTCTCCTCAGTGCAGCTCCTACCTGCACTTCTCCTTCGCCTGAGGGTTATTTTAAACCTGATTTGAATACTGAGAAATCACATCCCAGTCAGGTTTCTTATCCTTATCTTTCTCTTCACATTTTACATTTCTTCTCTTTACCCACAAACTGTGGCTCAGAATCACATTTCCTCCCCCAAAACTCACACAAATCACTCCGTGTGTACACATGTGGCCATCACACCTTAGATGCAAAAACCCTTTTGATTTAAAAGTATATTTTATGATTTTATAAAACAATGGTTCTTTGATAACACAGCTGAGGTGAAAATCCCTGGTCTGGGATTCACAGACAGGAAAATGCAGCTCCTGCTTTACACAAGACAAAAGAAACAAGAGACAAAAGAAAAATAATCTTGCTTGGATCTGTTTTGTGGCTGGGAGGCAGAACCACACATGATGTGGTGTGAAACCCCAATAATAAAGGGTCTTGTCAGAGGTAAATCTCACAGCTCCCCCTGAGCTTCAGCTTCTCCTCCTTACTTGGACTGGAATATGGATCTGATTTCCCTGTCAGTCATCACCACATTTCAAGGATGAATTCAGATCTATTTAATTATAACTGTGGAAAACTGACAGGCTCAAACCAGCTTGCTGAATTCAAACAGGAAAATTGTCAGTTTCAATGCAAAATTGAAATGATTTCAAATTATAATTGTAATAGTCTAGTCAATATTATGCCTTTCACTTTTTCCTTTAAGAGAAAGAAAACCCCAGATACCAAAACTCCTGACTGAAACACGTCTTCCACACAGCACAGATCTTCAGTTTGAAATTCTTTGAGATTAGGAAAACAGAACAATTTTAGCTCCCAGCTTTCAAAGCTACTCCTTGGCTTTTCACAGAAGAATTCTCCCAGTTTCCTTTCCCACCTCCCCAGGGATTCTGGACATTCCCACAAAACATCAGCAGGTGCTGGGCTGATGTGTCAGGTTGTGTCTTCCCATGGCAGCACCCAGGGATCCTGGGACATTCCTGGGAACACCAGCAGCAGAGCAGAGCCCAGGGCTCAGCCAGGAGATTCCTTTTTCCATAACCTTCATTCCATGGCTGAGTGTCCCCACTGCACCACAGCCCGGGTTGGTCCTGATGAGCAGCAAGTGGGATTTTCCATAAAGCCCAGGACCATGGAATGGTTTGGGATGGGAGGGACCTTGGGGACGATCCCACCCCACCCCTGCCATGGCAGGGACACCTTCCACTGTCCCAGGCTGCTCCAAACCCTGTCCAGCCTGGCCTGGGACACTCCCAGGTATCCAGGAGCAGCCACAGTTTCTCTGAGCACCCTTTAGGAAAATAGGATTTTTTCCTACAATCCAATCTAAACCTATTCTCTGGCAGTTTGAAGCCATTCCCCGTGTCCTGTCCATCCTCTCTCTCCATCTTTCCTGCAGCTCCTTCAAGGCCACCCTGAGCTCACCCCAAATCTTCTCCTCTCCAGGTGAACAATCCCAGCTGTGCCAGCCTTTCCTCCCAGCAGAGCTGCTCCATCCCTGGCATCATCCTGGAGCCTCCTCCAGCAGCTCCAGCTCCTCCCTGTGCTGGGGCTGCAGTGGGGCAGTGCTGGAATGTGCCAGCATCACCTGCAGGGACTTCACCCAAATATCTGCCATAGCACCCCATAGCTGCCCCCAGCACCCCACAGCTCCCCCAGCACCCCACAGCTATCCCAGCACCCCACAGTTACCCCAGCACCCCACAGCTGCCAGGACCTGGCTCCCAGCTCCTCCCCTTGTTTCATTTTTAATGTGCCTTTTGCTCCCTCTTCGTGTTTTGGGCACCAGAGCTCCTGAGCACAACCTGTTGTGGCAGGCAAAGAGATTCCCAGTTTCTGGCCACACGTGAGCATTTTATTTCCTGGATTCTTCCTCTGCTGTTCCTGTGAGGAAGCAACTCCACTGGCAGAAATCCTTGGCCAGCAATATCCTCCTGGGATATTTCATGAGCACCAGTTTCAGTTTCAATGTCCTGACAGGCACAGTTAAAATACAAATTACAGCTACTCCAGCACCTATTGAGATACTCAGCTGGGGCCACTAAGGATCTCTTGTAGTTTCCTGAGCCTCCTGTAATAATGTTTGAAAAAGAACTTCTAATTATAGTTGGAAACTTGGGAAGGAAGCAAAAATCAAAAACACTTCCCCAGCTAAAGAAAGGAGAAACAATATTCACTGGAAAAGAATTGTAAGAGATGCTGAACTTCTGCTTTATGTAACAGATAACAAATGAACCACAGGAAAAGTGGCTTCAGCACAAAAATAGGGATGTAAGCTCAGCATTAAGAAAACCAGCTAAACAAGCAGCAGCTCGTGAGCCTGTGGAGCTCCTTTTATCTCTGATTATCATGGAAGGAATGGAAGCCCTGGACAATGTCACTGCCATGGGCTCCGTGTGTGTTGTGTCAGCTCCAGCTGCTCCAAGCAAAGCCTCAGCCAGAGGCACAGCAGATCCCACCAGGGCTGGGCTGAGCTGCACTGAACAGGCACACAAACCGAGGGAGAAAAGCCTTGAAATTCCAATATTTGGGTGAAAAGCACACGATATTTTTGTTTTTAAAGACACACGAGTGCCATTTTTTTTCCCCAGATTTATTCCCCAATTCAGAGGCAGAATCTCAATAATAAGCAAAAAAAACCCCAAATTCTAGGCCAGGTCTTTGAGCAGATCAAAGCTGCTCGTTGTGGCTGAGATGAAAAGCTGCTCTGAAATGAAAATCAATACACAATTTCCAGACTGCATCTCAGGCTACTGCTGCTCGGGCATTTGCCTTTCAACTCTTTAACAAAAGGCAGTCACACTCCAGAAGAGTTGTCTCCCTTTCCCCTTCCCTTCAGCAGGGTGTGCTAAAAAGGAAATTTCGTGGCTGCATGAAGTCCCTCTTCTGTAAGAGAACACTCAAGGAGAATTTTTTTTTTTTCTGGAATTTGGTAAATCAGACCAATTTTTTTTTTCCTTGACTTAAGGAAAAAAATAGAGAAGATCAATGGTTAATGCAATATCACAGAATCATGGAATGGTTTGGGTTGGAGGAAAAAAATAGAGAAGATCAATGGTTAATGCAATATCACAGAATCATGGAATGCTTTGGGTTGGAGGGGACCTCAAAGCTCATCCCATTCCTCTCTTTTGAGTACAAGCCAGCCACAAACAAATATTTTGCTCAGCCATGGCATTAGAGCCACACAACACTTTTTTTTTCTCCCCTGATCTTCAGATAATCATGGAGAAAATATTTTAATGGCCATGAAGAAACCATTAAGGGCTACAAGGCAAAATTTAGCACCAGGAATCCCAACAGTGCAGGACAGCACGGGGTACAACAGCCCTGAATGAATTTCTGCAACAAATATGAATCCAAAATAAATATTCATCCATATCCTTTTGCCATCTTACTCCACTATTCCATGCAAATATAATTTTTTTTTTTTCCTCCAAGAATCCTAATATTAGAATGGAACCAGGAATTCCAGCAGTGCAGGGCAGCACAGGGGGTACAACTGCCCTAAATCAATTACTGCAGCAAATACTAATCCAAAATAAAACATTCCCCCTGCTTTTTCTAAAAAATAAAGAACACACAAATGTCCTTTTGCCATCTTACTCCACTATTCCATGCAAATAAAGTTTGTGCTCCAAGAATCATCTTGTTTCACTAATTTCACTTGCATTGTTATTTCCAGGAATTAATGGAAACAGGGGGAGAGCAGCCAGCAGAAAGAACAGCAACGATCATTCTCTAAAAACATCCCTGAAATATTTCACATTTCAGGCCCTGCAGGCACAGGAGCTGCTGCAATCAGGATTTCTGTTGGGTTCTGGCTGCTACAAGGCAAAATTTGGCACCAGGAATTCCAGCAGTGCCAGCCCTGAATGAACTACTGCACCAAACACTAATCCAAAATAAAACATTGCCACTGCTTTAAAAAAAAAAAAATAAAATAAAGAATACACTAATATCCTTTTGCCATCTTGCTCTACCATTCCCTGCAAATCAAGTTTGTGCTCCAATAATCTTGTTTCACTAATTTCACCTGCATTGTTATTTACCCACAAGTTTCCAGGAATTAATGGAAACAGGGGGAGAGCAGCCAGCAGAAAGAACAGCAACGATCATTCCCTAAAAACATCCCTGAAATATTTCACATTTCAGGCCCTGCAGGCACAGGAGCTGCTGCAATCAGGATTTCTGTTGGGTTCTGGCTGCTAGCAGGAGTTGCTGAATGGGATTTATCCTCTGGGACAAAGGAGCTGCATTTTCACTCAGCTTTTCTCTTTTGTCATCTTTCTAACTCCTTTGTAATTGGTTTTAGGAGCAGGTCTGCATGGAATTACCACCCAAACCCCACACGGAACTGTTCCTGCTTTGTGCCCCTGCTGCATTTGTGCTCTGTGCAGTGAAAATCAGAGACACAAAACTCCAGCTCTCACCTTGCCCCTTCACCTGTTGCTCACCGAGTGCTTTTATTGCTGAAAGCATACAAAGGTTCCCTTTTTTCAGCTCTGGCTCCATCCAAAATCTTCACTTTATGCCCCCAAAAAAGCTATTTATTTATTGCAGTATTTCATTTCAGAAATACTACCGACTATGTCTCCCATAGTGATAACTTCTATCACTTTTATTTCTCCAAAACTTTGATTACATTGCACAAACATGGAGGTTTCAATTGTCTCTCAATGAGTTACACTGCTTTTCAAACAGGAAAAAAACTTAAAATCCAAGAAACATCGACACAGAAATGTTTAATTTCTCAACTTGCTACTTAAACTGATTTAGCAATTACATTAATTAGGTAATCCATTTAAGTAAAGCAGTCCCATATGCTTCATTTGACATATGAGGAATAAAATGTACATGTATTTTCTAGGTCTTCAGGCAGTGTAAATCATCTGGCTTTTATTTCCTCCTCAGAACGCTGCTGATTTACACCAGAAAAAAAACACAGAGAGAAGCTTTGCTGGTAGGTAACTGCTTAAAGTCACTTATGGTGGGATGGCACTGAAATTTGGGCCATGGAACAGAGATTCTGAGCTGTTATCAGAACCATCTGCACATCCCCACACCAGCTTTTGATGATTTTAACCTAAATTTAGATTTTTCAAGTGCCTGTGACAGAGTGAGCGAATTCTCTTAACAACAAATCATAAAATATTTCTCTCAGCGTTGAAATAATAAAGCGTTTTCTTTCCTCGTAAGGGTGAAGAGGAACTGTTGGGTTTTATTTATTCCGAAAAGAAAAGAAACTGGAGTGACAGCGAGAGGGGCTGAGTTTCAGAGCTGTGAGCAGGGGTGGAGCTGCTGGAATTCAAGAGGTGCTGAAAAACAACAAGAGCCACGTGGATGTGGATGAGAGCGACTGCCCTTGAATTTGTGGCGATAACTTCTCAGAACTACTTGGAAAAGAATTTTTAATGCTCAGGCCATGCAGTTCACAGCAGGATTTTGGGGTGGCAGCGCTGGGAGTGGGGCTCAGCTGCAAACCCCTGTGAGCCCACCCAAACTGGGCTGAAATGGGATTAACTCCCAAACAATGCTTTCCTCACACCCCATCAACTGTCCCACACCCAGTTCATCCATTAAAGGGACTGAATTTATTTCATTCGTGTGCAGGGAAAGAATAAATTACTCTGCTTTATTCTAAATTCTCTAGAATCTGAGCTCGGGAGCTGAATTCTGTTAAATTTTGTTAAATAGCTGAATTTTGTTAAATAGCTGAATTTTGTTATGAAGCTCTCCCTGGGGATTTTAGATGGACCCTGCTCTCTTCAGGAAGGGCTGCAGCCTCCAAAATGAGAGCAAGGATGGTTTCTGTACATTAAATATTCACTAAGGCTCAGCTGAGGATCAGAAGGGGCCAAATATAATTCTGATTTCACAACTTCACTGCAGCTTTAATTCCTGCCACTCTCTGGTGCTTTTCCCAGCCAATCACTGTTTTAAAATTAAAAACAAGACAGAAAAATTTTCCCTATATATATTTAGTTATTAATAAAGAACTGCTCAGTATGTTTCAAGTCCAAGCAATGCCCCACAGGACCAGAAAAGAGAGAATGAGATGGAAATGTTCAGATGGATAAGGATTCTATCACGAGTAAGGCTTTTCTACAATTTCAGTTGTTGGAAATTGCTGCTGAGAAGATCAGAAATCTGGGTTCACATAGAAAAATGCAGAGATGGTTTCTAGGACTTTATCATGGACATGGATTTTTTTAGCCCTGTCCAACACATGAACTGTTCTCTTCTTGTAAAACATTTCCTGGTGTCCCCCAGAAACCCCAAACCTCCAGAAGAGTCCATAATCCCCCTCCTGCTGCTGCCACTGCTGCATTTTGTCCTTTCCAAGGGCCTAAATTTGGGCTCCTTGCAGCAACAATTCCCCCCAGGCTTGTTGGAGACACAAATCCCACCAGGAATTCCCCCAGAACCTGGGCAGAGTTTGTCACAAAGCTGGCAGGGACCAGCACCAAACCAACCCTTCCCTCTGTAAATCCATTTTTGGGGGGGTCAGGGCAGAACCAAATCCCCAGAACTATTAACCAGCATCCAGAGAACTTTGGAAAGAATTCCTTCTTTTTCTTTTTTGTTGCATTTAAACTTCCCAGCTTCTGCAGAAGCACATTTACAAGTGAGAGCTGAAACATGGGCACATCCCCTAATTCAAAGCCATGCATTCATATTTATTATTCCTTCAGTACAAACCTCCCCAGGGCACTTCCAACCCCTTTCCCAGTCCTTACCTTCACCATTCAGTGCCAGGGAACCAGCAAACACCACAGATCCATTTTGAACACTGTCAGGAGACTCGGGCAGAGGCTGAAATAACAAAGAACAGAGTTTTGAGGACACCAAGGGGGTGGAAATGGCCCTGGCAGCAGCCAGGGGAGGTGGGAGGGGGTTGCTCACCTGGTAGCTCTTCACTGTGCAGGTGTTGTCATCCTCAGCATCCTCTGGCACACTCGGGGTGTTCCCCATAGCTCCTGGGAGAAAAAAAAACACCAAAATCACCCTTTTTATGTCATTAATATGAATTCACTGCCTAATTGTGGTTAAGAGACAGCCAATGGGGCCAGGCTGTTCAAACCCCTGAAATCCCACCTGCCTTCCCAAGGAACCTGATCCAAACCCAGGGTGCTCAGGGCTCACAGCTGCTCCCCAAAAATGGCACAAAGCAACCAACTTTTCTTGTTTGTGGAGGCAAACTGGCTGCAGTGACACCTGCAGAGTTCCTCAGGGCTCAGGGGACAGCAGCAGAACAAGGCTCAAAATCTCTGCATAAATTACAGCAGATTTGTGTGGTTTTGTTTGGTTTTTATTTAATAAAAGGCAGAGAGAAGGAAAAGAGGCAGCATGGAAAGGTATCACACATGGAAATCCTGAACTGCAGCCTGTGTACAAATTCACATAAATCTTCTGGGGGTTTGTTTGGTTTGTCTTTTCCTCTTAATTTCAAATATATTTGGGGCTTCTCTTCTCTTCTCTTCTCTTCTCTTCTCTTCTCTTCTCTTCTCTTCTCTTCTCTTCTCTTCTCTTCTCTTTCTTTTGCTAAAACTGAGAAAACTTGCTACACAATCCTAAATATGATCCCAAAACACCAAACCCTGTTGCCTGCTGTGCAGTGTCCCAGGCCAGGTTGGATTTGGTTTGGAGCATCCTGGGACAGTGGGAGGTGTCCCTGCCATGGCAGGGGTGGGACAGGATGGGCTTTAAGGTCCCTTCCACCCCAAACCACTCAGTGATACAGAAAATATCCATGTGTGTGCTATTTCTGCCCAATTTTAAAGAAAAATGACAGGTCACTGCCACCTATAGACAAATGTGAGCAGAGCAGCAAACGCTGATGAAAACAGAGGATGGGATGGAGCTGGCAGCGTTTCCAGCTGCCAGGCAGGTGATGTCACAGCTCTGCCAGCTGATTGTCCCCTCTGCAAACCAGCACCTCCAGCCTGGAATTCCCATGGAATTGCTTTTCCCCGAGTGTTTATACGGCCAGATCCATTTTTCTCTCATTTCATACACCGTGTCTTGAAGCTGAAGTTGTTCCAAGTGAAGGCAAAGAGGTTTTGTGGCAAATAAAGGAGCTCTCACGCGTGTTTGTGAGTTAGAAAATCATGGAATTGCAGAGGAATTTGGTTGGAAGGGCCCTCTGGAGGTCACCCAGTCCAAGCCCTGCCAGGCAGGGTCACCTGAGCAGGTGACACTGGACCTCACCCAGGTGGCTTTGGGATGTCACCAGAGAGGGAGATCCACGCCCTCCCTGGAGCTCTCCCAGGGCTCTGTGGGAAGAATTCTTCCTCACATTGTGAGAGAAAATTTGACAATTTTTATAGAAGACAAATTTTCACGACTGAGAGGGGAAAGAAATGATTCTGATACAAGAACATTTTTCACAAAGAGAGGAAAGCCCTTAAAAGTCAGGAGGAGCTGGATAATTCCTATCCTTGGGCTTCCCTTCTAGGTAGGTTTTGCACCAAGTTCCAAGGATATTGTCCTTGTGGGGACTCCCCCAGGCCAGCTGGAATCCAGCCCAACTGGTTCCAAAAGGAACATGAACTACCAGATTCTCCAGCTCTGAAACAATCCCTTTCCCAAATTAGGCTTCACTGCTTCCATTGTAATGCAGAAAATAATTCAAAAGGAAAATAAATGTATTTTTAATTGGTTTTAGTGTTATGTGAACCGCACCGTGCCAAGTTCAAGGCTTGGGAAAATCCTCCTTTTTCACTCTCTCAAAAATCATTGCTTTGGTCCTGGCAGAATGGTAAAAGCTTTGAAAATATGAGAGAAAATTACAGCAAAATCTATGATGTGCAGTGTGCTGCTTAAGGCAGCCAAGCCTCACCTTCCTGATGCACTGACCAGCCTGAAATATTGCAATCACCCGTGTCTATTAATGCCAAAAATCCACAGTTAACTCCTCACTAAAACTTACCATATGTTGCATTTAAACATCACAGAAAATAATCGATTTTCCTGCCCTTAGAACCCAGGTTGAGGACATGGCCGTGCCCAGGTTTAAAAGCAGAATTTTCAGCTCTGATTGACGCGGAGCAAAGCAAGGACTGAAAATGGGGCAGAGTTGGGAAATTCTGCTTACCTGGAGCTCAGCTCTGCCTTGTCCTGCTGGGAGAGGCTCCTGGGCCACGTGCTGGGGATGGGGAGAGCAGGGCCAGGTGGCTCCGAGCCCTGGCACAGCTGAGGACAGCAGGGGACACAGGGGACAGCAGAAGGGACAGAGCAGGAAGGCTCGGGATGAGTCACCTACGGCAAACAAGGAACACCCAAAAGAACACCTCGAGTCCAGCCTGGCAGGGGCTGGGCATGCAGGACGGGCTGAATTACAGCCCTTGAGGCTCTTGGGACACTTTTATACAATTCTTTCAGCCACTCCACACTGGAGCCAAGTGGGAGAAGGGGAATAGTTCAAATATTCACGCCCTGGGCTCTCAGGGAGGGGACAGCTCCACAATGGCACCAGGTGAACAATCTGTGCCAGTCTGGCTGGGGGCAAGGCTCTGCCCCAAAGCTCTGCTGTTCCTCCCGCAGGAAAAGGCACGGCCAAGCCCAAATCGAGAAAACAAAACTTGCAGGAGCTCCCAAGGTCCTCGAGCACGGGCAGGGCAGCTGGGACAGAGCAGCAAAAAGCAAAAGCAAAAAAATGGTTTTGCAAAAGCAGAACACGGGAAAAGCCAAAGCAGCAGCAGCAGCAGAGCTGCACATCAGGGAAGGGAGGGTGTGGAGGATATAAAGGATATGGAGAATATGGAGAATATGAAGGATATAAAGGATATAAAGGATATGAAGGATATGGAGAATATCAAGGATTTGGAGAATATGGAGCAGTTACCTGGGGGAGAGGGGCCGGGACAGCCTCTGGGAGCCGGAGCTGGTCCAGGTGAGGTGCTGCTCCCCCAGGAGGGTGTCCTGTCCCTGTCCCTGTCCCTGTCCCTGTCCCTGCTCTGCCCCACAGTCAGCCCAGGGAGTGCTCACAAACACTGGGTGCAAACACAGCCAGGGTGGAGCAGCCCCGTGCCCCTCCCCAGCCCTCTCCAGGTGTTTTCTGTTCTGAGCTCTCCGGCCACCCCAGCCTGCTCCAGGGATCCCTGCCTGGGGGGCAGCCCCTCACCACACTGCCTCGGGAATGGGGACATCGTGCTGGACACCCACAAACCCCTTCCCAATGTGCAGTTTTCCCAAAATGCAGAAAAACCCCGAAGTTCTTTTGCTGGCACGACTGTTCGCTGTTGTCAAATTGTTCCTGATCCCCCCGCAGTGTGCACACTGACTAAGTGCTGATATTTCCAAGCCATTGTCACGATTTGTGCTGCCTCAGGTGAGTCACAGAGCCTACACTCACACTGGGGGTGTCTGCAGCAGGGAAAGTTTTTTTATTCTGTTTTCACAGCACCCCAGTCAATAAAACCTGCCTTTGGAAAGGGAGGTTTCCACAGGCACTCGAAACACCAAGAGAAAATTCCCAAAGTTAGGGTTTGAAAGGAGCAATCCCTGGGATCTGATTCCTGACTGCATCATCCAGCTGGCACTTTTATTTCAGAGCAGCTTTATAGGTTTGGGTATAATTCTGTTATTAATCATGACAAAGCAAGGAAAACAGCTCTGTCACGAGGGCTGTGCTGGCTGAGGAGGGTGTCAGGTGTTCCAGGGATGCTGAGGAACCTGCAGGGGTGGGAACAGAGCAGGAATCTGCACCCAGCACCCCAGCAGGGCGTGGGGAGGGAGGGGAGACCCTGATTCCTTCTTTTTTTCCAGTACTGGGTCATGAATCTTCCTCATTTTCTCCTGTCTGCTACAAGCTCAGGTGATATCCCAGGAGTTCAGCCTCAAAATCCCACCCAGGGACAGAACATGATTCAGGAATGGTTCTGGATTGTTCATGTTGAGCTGGGAACAGAATTTATCCCTGGGCTGAGGCACAAAATCCCAGCCTGGCTGGGAAATCACTCACCCATGCAATAGTGCTGGACTAATTGTCCTTTTTATTTTTGTTTTTTCATCTTTCTCCCCTGGTTAAAATATTATTGTGAAGCGATTTTGAAATGCAAGATGTAAATATTTAATTCTGAAATGTTTCATTTCTGTAAGAGGTGGTCATTAAAGGCACTGTAAGTTTGCCCCATATTTTGCCTTCCATGGATCTATTTGCTCCTAAAATGTCTTCAAATTCAGCCTTAAAACCTTAATATTCATAATGAAGAAATATTTGGATTCTCATGTCCTTCACCTGTGAATATAAGAACAACAGTGCTCCTTTTCCTCAAAAAATGGCTTTTCCTTGAACTGAGCTTTATCCTGATTAATTTTTCCCAGTTTTGTGGACAATGAACCGTCCATTCTTTGAGGTGTCTTTCAACTCTTTAATTTTCTTTTCCAGTAATTTCAAAGCCATCCCATGTTTTCATCAAGGGCAGACCAGAGTGGCACATGGTGAGTTTTGTTTTCCCAAACTGGGAATTATTTAGCTGGGTGGCAGCCACAGAAAATCATCTCCAAAGCAGAGGAAACTGTGCTGCTGAAAGCAGTTGAGTTTTCAGCACTCAAAATGTTATTTTTTTTCTTCCTAAAAATCTCCAACGAAGCTGTCACCAAATAAATCTTCCTCCCTCCCCTGCAGGAAATGCTCAGCTCGTGCATCTGACAGCTGCATAAAACTTCCTGTTCATTAATAGCACGGAGCAATTATCAATGATTAACCAGCTTCTTTTATTGCTGTCCAGAACGAGAGCCAAGAGCATTCAAATATTGACAATCGAGGAGCAGATGACTCCTGGGCTGTGTTTGCATCTGCTTTTGCCACACTCTGGAGAGGGGCTGGTGTGAGCATGGCAGGGGAGGGTTCCCATCTGGCTGCTGCTGGGAGGTTAAATCCAACTTGTCAGGTTGTTTTCTTTAATGAGCCAAGCGGCTCATAGTTGATATAAAGTTGTTTATTGCAAAAACAACAAACAGTGTCAAAGGAAAAAGCAAAGTAAAGCAAAAGGCAATGGCAAAAATCAGCGGCAAAAAAGAAAAATGCAATGGCAAAATACAATGGCAAAAAGAAAAAGGCAATAGCAAAAAGCAATGGCAAAATGCAGTGGCAAAAAGAAAAAAGCAATTGCAAAATGCAATGGCAAAAAGCAATGGCAAAAAGAAAAATGCAATGGCAAAAAGACGTGGCAAAAAGCAATGGCAAAAAGAAAAATACAATGGCAAAAAGCAATGGCAAAATGCAGTGGCAAAAAGAAAAATGCAATGGCAAAAGCAATGGCAAAAAGCAAAAGGCAATGGCAAAAGCAATGGCAAAAATGTAATGGCAAAATGCAGCAGCTCTCCCCAGTGCATGTTCTTATATAGAAACTTCCCAACAGGCTAAGACACAAACTCAAACCACCATTGTTTAACCTATTTATTAGAATTCTGGTTTCTTAGCACTCCAGGTTACATATAAACTACACATATGGTCTATCTTGTTCTATTTTAAAAATGTAAGCAATATTCTTACCATAGCTTTATTATGTTTAAAACAATGTTCTTGGAGCCTCCACAGAACCCCTAATAGCTAAGACTGCTTTTCAACCTTCACTAGAACTCCAACTTCTACACTGGTATCTAAGACCTTTCACTGACTAAATGCACTTAAAACCCATTCTACTTATTTACTTAAGCTTGCTTATACTGAAACTTAAACTTAAACCTCTACTTTATGTGTGAGTGGCTTAACACACTTCAATCGATCTAAAGGCTTTAATTCCATCCCTGCACTCTGATCCCTCTCTGAAGAATTCAGAGACTCCTGACTTATTGACTCCAACAGCTGCTGTCGAGGTTTATTCAGCAGAGCAACAAAACCCCCCTGGCAGCACGAGAAAGGAGGGACAGAAGGAACCTGAGCTGAGCAAAAAGCAAAATTAGGCATCACTCCAGTGGAGTTCTGACAGTTTGGAACAAAATATAAATGAGGTTTTGATGTCTCACTCTGAAGAGGATGGATGGAGTGAATCACGGATTTTTTTCCCAACATTTGCATGGGTTGATGGATCCTGGATCCTGGGCAGGGAAAGCTGTGGGAGCCACCTGAATCCCAGAGCCAGCCCAGCCCTGGGCCTCTGAGATCCACAGGGTCGGGCTCTTCACATGGAGCCTGCATTCCTAAAACTCTCTGAGTGACACCTCTGAGGGTCACACTGTTGGTTCCACCTACTTAGAGAACGTTTCCAAAAAATCCCAGGCAGTGCAGTGACTGATGCTGTTACACAGCTGGGGCTTCTACTGCTGACAGGCCCCAAAATAAGGTGCTGGCACTCCTAAATTCCTGATATCCATCACAAAATCCATAATCCCTGGGACCATGAGCCACGAGCTGGGAGGCTGGTGCAGAGGTAAAGTCATGCCCATCACCCCAGCACCACAAACATCCTTTTTGGTGAGGAAGGAAAGCACATCTGAACTCGTGTCCCTGCAAACCTGAAAAGCCTGGCTCCGAGTTCCAGGGAAAACTGTTTCTGCTTAAGTTCTGCTCGTGTTCTGAGCTTTATTGGGTTTGGCTCCTTTACAGCTGGTGCTTCCTGGGGATTGCCCCAGTTATGCTTTCAGCAAGTCGGGTTTTCCTGCTGTCTCTTCCAGAGCTCCCGTTCATGGCTGGATCTGTCTCGTGTTTCACCAATGTGCTCTGACTGGGTAATGAAAAGGAGAGAATAATTGCAGCAGTGCAGGAGCTCCGGGGAAGCAGCACCATCCCTAATTATTCCCATGCTGCCCTGGTGAGGCTGCAGCCCGTTCCTGTGGTCTGGCTCTGCAAACAAACCTCCCCCAAACCCAGAGGAATCCCTGCAGATCCACGCTGGGCTGGGAGCAGCCTCTGGCTCACACACTCCAGCTGGAGCTCAATGGGAAACATTCCCTCGTTCTGCTTCCCAGAGATGCCTGAACAGCGTTTTTAAATGATATTTCAGCCTCGAGTTTCTGCAGACTGTGAGTCACGGTGCTGATGTAGGAAGGGAGCTGCTGATCTGCTTGTCTCTTCTTCCCCCATCACAAAAACCCCCCAGGTTCCTGCTGCCACTATTCTTCTGTTTTTAAAGAGGGAGAATTACAGACTCTACACCAGCTATTTCTCCATGTGGGAGCTTCTAGAACAGATAAAAGGTTCCTGTGTCAGGATTGAGACAGAGAGTTATTGTAGACGTGGTGCCTCAGTGGGTGGAACAGGCATTTGAACCACAATTATTCTCCTGTAGGAGCATTTTAAGTCTCTATCAAAAATGCAGCGACGATAACAACACTATGTCAAATATTCCTTTCCTTCATGCAGCTCCTGCACAGCCTGGCTCACAACATTCCCCAGCTGGCTCTGCTTTCCCCTGTCAGTGCTTCACCTTTCCCAATACCAAGCCTGAAATATGGAAAATTTAAGGAGCTGCAGCTACTAAAAAGAAAAAGAAGTGAAAAAAAAAATCTTCTTGTAAACTCTGTATTTAATTCTTGCCTTTAGCGAGGAAGCAGCAGGTGCATGAGCATGGACCTGCAGCAGGGGAAGGGAATGATGATTTTTGGGAGGTGTTTGATCCACGTGGTCAGGTCTAGGATATTGTCCTGTCCTGAGCCAGGCTGAGCCTGCTCTGATGGGGTGTGGGAACAGCAGAGCTTTGTCCTGGCACATTCCTGGTGCCAGCTGGGCACGGCTGAAGCCACGTCCACACTGCTGCCCTCCTGCCACGGGCTGGTTTCAAACCCTTGTTTCCCCATCCTCGTGGATTTGGGATGGGGAAAAAGTCTAAATTTTCTTCAATTTTCTTAGGACTTCTCCCAAAAAAAGGCATTGATGGCCTTGGGCACCTTGCCCTGATGCTCCCTGCTCACCAGGGTCACCTGGGAGGAGCCTCCCTGCAATTCCAGCTGTGAATTCCTG